TGTTTTCACACTGCATGACTATCTGGGCTAGCGTTTTGTTGCTGCTTTGTTTACACTGCAAGATGGATCGGCCACAGGGGCTTTCACATGCGTGACTTTACAATAGGAAGAATCGCCGGCAACTTTGTCCAAACTTTGTCCAAAAAACGTAGTATATCTTTTGCTAATAACTAGATAATGAGAAACAAGCCTTTAATGGGGTAGAACATGTACATATTTGTTTACCTGGGTTTGAAGGGAATTAGCAATTTCTTCTCAACTTTCTTTTTTAACTTTATATATGAACTGTCAAACAGACACGGGAGCTCCTGTCAAACCTCTACTAGTTTTTCCTCCAATTCTTGGGTCCAAATAAACTGAAAATGATTGCGTGTAACTTCTCCCTCAACCTCCCGCGGGCCTGCAGCAGGAACACACACACAAGTGAATGCTGCTCTTTCATTGGCTGTAGGCGACCGCCGATGTAATTTTTAGTCAAAACTCATTTCAAACAGCATGATTTGAATCTCCGACAGCTCCAGATATTTAGCATGCCAAACTCTTTCAGATCGCATCTTTGAAAGTTCATCCTGTGTGATTGTCACTCACATGCATGAGTACATTTGCCTGTCATTTCAGGCATTTGTCAGCAATTTCTCAAAACCTGTCAGCGAGTTAAAATCGGGACTAAATCATGCAGTCTGTACTCAGCATTAGTTGGCACCAATCCCCAAAATGTGAGTTAATCAAGCGGGCACACCAGACAATGTAATGTGCTGTGGAGAGGTAAGCATGATCGAATACCCAATAAAGGGGGAGAGCATGCTCAGAGCCCGGCGGCTAATCAGCAGGCCAATCCGAAATAATAAGCAACACCTGTTTATTCTAGTGATTGGACCGGAGAGACACCCGTCTTAAGGAGAACGGGAGGAACAGTCGGGAGAGAGAGCTGAGCGACGGCCACACAGTGGGAGCTGTCCTTTACAGTGATTTCATTACTGAAAATAAAAGAAATCTGTTACTTACCTCAACGCCGACCCTGTCTTCTTCTTCCCACACACAAAGAACCTTTGTTACATGTGCCAAGCACCTAACTCTTGTGTCGAATTGGGTGTTGGGGACTTTGGAGGATCTCTCTAGTGTTTTTCAGATAGAGAACTTACTAGCAGAGTGAAAATAGGCTGCACACATCTCTGGGTTAGGGACAATGGTGCAAAAAGTGTTTTGACATAGACACTAGTCCTCCTGGCAGGTAACTGTTAATCAGAAGTTGGGAAGAAAACTCAATCCATTTAAAGATTTTAGAATCTCACAAATGTGTTAAGTGTTATCCAGCTCTCAGCTCTACAGATACCTGTTAGAGAGGTCTCTAAGAAGAGGGGACACTTGAGGGTGATGACATTCACAGTCAAGTGAACCAACCTATGCTTTGATCTAGCACTTACCTTTGCCGACCACATAACAGATGAAGAGCTGCTTAGTGAATCTTACTAATTGTGGTTCGCATAAAGGCACAGAACACAAACCTGACAGCCCTGCCTCTTCCGCGGACAGCACTTGCAAGTTTACTGCCTGGATTCAAAATGGATTTCAGGGCATAGGCATGCCTCATAAAGGGGTCTCTAGCCTAAGTGATGATATTAACCACTTCAGGTGGTAGGTCACCTAAGTCTTCTATGCCTCATATATGGACCACACTTGAAAGTTCCAGAGATCTGGGCACGATCCCAGAGGGTGCCCCATCCCTGAGAAGGGAGATCCATAGTCTGGGGAATTTGCTAGGGAGGGGCTGTCGCAAAGGGTGTGAGTTTGAAAACTCAAGTTCGGTTGGATCACATTGGTGTAACTAGCAAGATATGCTCCATGTCCTCCCTGACCTTTTACAGGGTCTGTTCGAGTAGGCTCACTGGAAGAAACATATATTTGCACAGGCCTCAGAGACAGATGTGCGCCAGTGCCAATGTGCAGAGGGGGGCCTCAGTCATGGAATATAATAGCTTTCAATGGGTGAATTTGGGAAAAGAAAGAGGGTGAACATATCAGCTGGACTGCACTGGAGAGGAGTCTTCATGCTCCCAATAATGAGAGCTGCAATGTGAGCCCTTAACTGCACAGTTGAGCTCACCTGGGATGCAAATAGCAAGCAGCAATTTCAAATGCATGTGACTGTAGAGGAGCAGAATACGAGTGAGCTGTGACATGGGCGGGAATGTATACAGCTGTTACGGTTCATATACAACACTACAGCCATGCTGTCCTTCATGACCAACACATGCTTTAATTCTAGCTAAACACTGCCAACAACTCCAGGCAATGGATATGCCAATGTAAACAGATTCTGGTTTACAAACTAACAGTTGCATGTTTGTTACATGACACTCCATTCCAAGCTAGAAGGATCTGCTATTATGACAACATGCCTCCAGAGACTAAGTGTATGGTAACACAGTGGAGTAATGGTCACTCTGTGTGTCTCCGCATGCCATGCTAAACTTGGGACCCAATCCTGAAGTGAGTGTTGAAGTGGTCTCACATGTAACAAAAGCAACATTGCATATGCCCCAGAAGTCTCTGAAAATGTTTCAGTGGGATCACTGTATCACCTGTTGAGTTCCCTCTGACCAGCACTAGCCTGGCATGAAGACACATTGTAGGGCCATGAGTCCAGCGAGGTCTGTGACAATTGAACATTGAGATATGACAGCGTGTGTCCTTCAGGTCTATGACATGTCGAGCAGCAATAATAAGGCTGACATAGCCTGTTCTAGCAGCACCACCACTGCAATCACTGATGCACCATTGGTGGGGCAGCTTGAAGTGGAAGATCTCCTCGGAAAGCACCTTATACTTTGAGCACCGATGCTGGTTGTCCAGCAGTTCGATGTTGTGCTGCAGACTAGTCACAAATTGAATCCTCAGCCTTCCACAAGGGAAGGAGCAGTCCCTCTTTTCCCTGGGACTCTCTTTTCTTCCTCCATCTCAGGAACTCTGCAGTCCATTTATCTAACTTTGTGATGCCCTAATGCAGAAGCATCCTCTTCCCATGGGTGTGCTCAATGCGGCCACTTTTTTAGGCCACAGGTGGACAGCAAGAAGCAGCCAGCACAGAGAAAGCCAGCAGATGAGCTGCCTTCTGAGACAAGAACTCCTGGGTTTTTGGGTGTCAAAAAGGTGAGTCTTGTCTACATCCAGCACATCAACCAGGGTATGACAAAAAGGTGGCATTCCTATACCACTCAGATTGCCATCACCCTCCACAGGGTACGAGCGGCTGAGCTAGAAGGAGGTTGTGGTACATGTCCATGGCATGTTGGCCAGAGGTGGCCGGGCCCACAGCACTGTAAGCTCTGGCCATGTGGGACACAAAGAAGCTACATGTTTTGGATAGGGAGCTTCAGCTTACCCCATCATCAGGAGTTGGTGGTTTGTGGACAATGTTTCCTGCAACTGCACACTCCACCAGTGGGACAGCTTCATATCACATTGAGGACTGAGCTTGAGGACTGGGTGGAAAAAGCACTCTCCATGCCTGTACAAGCTATCCATACACCTTCAGGAAGAAGGAGGGTCTAGGGGGATTTAGTCAAGGCACTGAAAGACAAGGCAAGTTTATTTATATTGCACATTTTATACACAATGGTATTTTAAAGTGCTTTGCATAAACAAAAATAAAAGAAACAACAAAATACCAATGATTAACATACTTAAAAATTATTAAAAACTGACTAAAATGTCTTAAAACAAGTTTTAAAGGAATAAATAGAAAAGAAAGACTTAACAGTGTGATCTGTCAGACTAATGTTGGAGCACATTTGATAATTACTGGAAGCTGATTCCAGCAGCGTGGTGCGTAATAGCTGAAGGCAGGTTCACCCTGCTTTGACTGAACTCTTGGCATTTCCAATTTACTTGATCCTAATGATCTGAAGGATCTGTTAGGTTTGTATTTAATGTACATATCTGTAATGCATTGTGATTAATGGCATCTTAGGCCATTTAGTGATTTATAGTCAAGTAGTAACACTTTAAAATCTATTCTGAATGTAACTGGGAGCCAGTGTGAAGACCTGAGGACAGGTGTGATGTGCTTGGATTTTCTGGTTCTGGTCAGAATCCTTTTAGCAGTGTTCTGGATGAGCTATAACTGCTTGACTGCCTTTTTAGGAAGGCCAGTGAGGAGTTCATTACAATAATTCACTCTGCTTGGGATAAAAGTGTGAACAAGTTTCTATAAGTCCTTACTGGAAGCAAAGCAATTAATTATTGCAATGTTTTCGAGATGATAGTGTGCTGATTTAGTTACTGCTTTGACATGACTACTGAAATTCATATCTGACTCCAGAATAACACCAAGATTCGTGACCTTACTTTTTGTTGTTTGACCCCTATTTATTCCCTTATTTCTTGGCCCCACATAGAACCCATCTAGTCAGTCCAAATGCTAAGCTGGAGGCTGGAGAAGTGACTATGACTGTTATCCGGTGACAGGAATCTACAAAGTTGGTACAATGTCTTTAAAAAGACACCAACGGTGTTGCTCTCTTAGAGAAGACTGCTCTCTTAATGGAAGCTGTTCTATTAGAAGACTGCTCTTTTAATGGCCAGTGAAGCACCCAAGGACAGGAGAGAAGACCCAGCTCAACCATTGCTTGAATGGTTGCTGAATGGCTGCAATCAGACATCTTGGCAGACAGAGGAATACTGGAACTCTGAAAGTCAGGAGCTCAGTAGCAGTTGTGATCTCTTCAGAGAAGTGAAGGATCTGAAGCAAGCTTGAACTAATGAAGTCACATGGAATGTTTTGACAGTGTTTTCTGCTGATTTCTGAACTTTAAATGTTTTGGGACAGTTTTAATCTTTGGCTCATAGAGCACTCGAATTTCATCTAAAATATCTAAATTTGGATTTCAAAGATGAACAAAGCTCCCAGAAATGACATGAGGGTGAGTAATTAATAACAGAATTGTAATTTAAGTAAAGTAATCCTTTACACTATATAAAGTCAGTAATAGGATAAAAAACACTCTTATTAAGCACATTTATTTGAGAAAATTGTGACAGACAGGACAGTATGTCTTATTGAAATCCACAGCAAGCAACTTTACAATTCAGGATAAATGTAGATTTCTGCTGTAATGATGTTGAGATATTACATTACATGGGAGATATTACAAATTGCAGTACTGCCTACAGATTGCATCCATTAACTTGGTACTCTTTCAAAAAGTCATTCAGTTCTTTGCAGTACTTTCTCTTGACTGAGGCTTGGCATACTGATTTTGACAGCTTCTGTTCAACCCATGTCTTAGAATCCAGCAGATACTGCATGCTGGGAGAAAAGAGTTAATGTCTATTAATGTCATACTGTATAAAATCCAGCAATTTTTAGAGTTTTTTTCTGGTGTAAAAGGCAAAGTTAAAAAAGTTAGCGAACCTATAAATGTAAATGCACTTACTTTCCACTTGAGTCTTTGGTGGGGCCATCATTGCCCATGATAAGGTACCTCTCACCCTGTTTCAGCTCACCCTTGCAGTGCTTTCTCTTGGCAAACACTCGTGTGTTCTCTGGACTCACACTCAAGTCTCCCGCTGTGGTTCAAAGGTCACACACACAATTTATCTCAGCAGGTACATTGAAATAGTTCAGTAGAGTTTGTAATTTCTTTAGTCATTTCCAGAATTCGTTTTACATCATCGCTAAAAAGTGTATTGAAAGTTTGTATTGAAAGTTCACACTTAGCTGATGATTGATTATACAGCTTGTTTGGCATGCTGAGCTCATAAGATCCTCGAGCCTGAAGCTCCCTCTCGTTTGCAAGGCAAGAGGGGAGTTTGAACTCAGGTAGATCTCGAAAACTCCCCTGCTGTAGTAGCTAATGAACAGATAGTGATTGCTCTTAAGAGATAACTACTTACTAGGTGCATGTCTATGGTGCCTATTTTGATAAGTCAATTAACTTAAGTTGCATGTTTTTGAATGGTGGGAGGAAACCGGGGAGACCAGGGGAAACCCAAGTGAGCGCGGAAGAATGTGTAAACTCAGCACAGAAACATTGGCTGGCTTGGTAAGGACTAGAACCAGTGACGTTCTTTCTGTGAGGCAATAGTGCTAACCCCTGGGCCACTGTGCCACCATATCAAGGAAAAGAAAGGAGGAGTAGAGGTGGAAGGAGGGATTCTTTAAAATGAAGATGGCTGTCATGTGTGACTTAGGGTATTAATGGCCACTCAGCAAGCAATCGTAAGCACGTGATCCTCTCGAAATTGGTTAATAAATAAACTTCACAAAGAGACAGAGAGAGAAAAATTACTCACTATTTCGGAGAACCACGTTCACAGATGTTGAATATAATATAAAATTGCTCTCTTCGGTTACTGAATTCACAGTGACTTCAAATGCTGTTGGGAAAAAATTATAGAAAAATAATAATCAGTTCTGCATCAGTCACAGTTTTTTTTTTACTTAATCTATCATGTTAAATATACTTCAGTTTTTTGTGCTTGTTTCATTGGTGTTTACTTGTATAAATATAAATCACAAACCATAGTCGGTGTTGGAATGGTAACAAGCATAATCAAATCTATCAGTTTTGGTGATTTCCATCTCAATGGTTTTCTTCTCTGTGAAACAACCTCCTGGTGAAATGAAGATCAATAGGCTTTTATAATAAAATAAAATAAAAATCCCTTCTATGTTAAACAGTTGTCAGTTGTTGTCAGAGTGATGTATAAGTGCTAACTTATGTTTGTTTGATTGGTAAACAGATAAGAACCTACTTTCTGCACATTGACACACGTCATCTGAGCACAGGACGGAAACCATCTTGCTCCTCTTGGGGGCGCTGTACAACACTGAACATCTCCTGTCTGTAGACATCATGGCAACGACAAATCAGAAAAAAATTTTAATGAAAAGTATGCTAGTGTGAAGTACTCCAGTATAAAAACGTAAATATCATTAGAATATATAGCTCCCTATACAACATAACCTTCTTAAGTTGCAGTGTATATTGGTATATAACTTTGTATACAATAGGGGAAGTTTACAACTTATAAAAAGTAGTATTGTTATGGTACATCTGACTTGAAATGAAGGAACAGCTTGCCTGGTTCATAGTAATCATAAAACAAAGCAGGAGCAGGTTGAACTAAACCAATGGGCACACTTTGCTCAGCTCCAAATGCAATACAGGCTTCACCTCCATCTATCTGAGGAGTGACAGAGAGACAGGTTCAAGAAAGTCTATCCAGCATGCAGAGATATAATTTTATGTCTATTTTTTTGTGCTCATCTCACCTCATTGAAATACAACAGTACTCTTCCACGTGTGACCTCATAGTGAGAAATATATTTGTCCACCAGGCCTTTCAGCTGTTGCATAGGAAATCAGGGAAAAGGAGAAAAAAACAAAGGAAGTTAAAACAAAACGGACAAAGAAATGAAAAAAAAAAATTATACAGTTCAATTATATTAATTATACCAGCATATACAAACATAACATAATCACATGGTTCAGTTTTGTCATCTGCTGCCTGGTGATAAAAATTAATACCTGTATTTTTGTTATAACCTATAACTGGCTAGTCAAAATTGTCATCCAAGAACAACAGTTGTGTAGTATATACAGGCTTCATAAAAGTAGAAAAAAAAATCTAATGTCAGGGACATTTTAGAAAAAGTCATCTTACTTCAAGACAGATAGACTGTTTTGAGGATGTTTTTGGTACCTTTCTGGACTTTGAGTGTCTTAGGACCATTTCTGTCTACTAAGGATGAGGAAGCTCGCAGATGTCATTCAAATTATCTTATGGTAATTTGTGTTTTGGAGATGAATGTATTTTTATCTTTAGGTTAAAAGACCCTAAGTCTTGGACACAAATGCAATCCATTGACTTTATTTGTGTAAACTGTTTTTACCATTCTTTATTTAACTGATAAGCATCACAAAAAAAGCTTTAAAATACATTACAGATGCATCATATTTTAAAAGCAAAGAAAAAATACTCTGTGTTTCAGAAAACATTATTTAGCTACAATATATTTATATTTGTGGGTTCATCCTATTCTATTCATATAAAGTTATATTTATACAATGGTTAAATAGACTCCTAAAGTTAAGACAAAATTCAAATAGAAAAACATTAACAGACTGAGAAACATCATGCTGCAAATAGCATAACAAAAATGTGTCAAAGATCCTAAAAAGTGAAAAACCTGATTGCTTCCTGTTTAGTTATTTATAAAATAAAATTGTATTGGACTTTAATTTTGCAATTTCTCAAATTATTATTATAAAAGTATACAAACAACAAAGAACCACACAATCAGGACATTCAAATAAACTTTGAACTCACTTTACACACAGCTGACGCTGAAGCAGCCAGGTTTGTGACTTTTTGGGGTCCCACAACACATTTCCATTGTGGTCTGCACTATTTGCAATAGCACTTTATTTTGATGGTCTATTTGAGTGTTAGTAGACTGTCTGCTTAATATCTGTTGACACTGCTCCTTCAACATACATTTAACTGACTATAAGAAACTTTGCAAGTACATGTCACTTTACACTACCCCTAACCACAACATAACAGTTTACTTCTAGTCTAAGTAGAATTAGTTGGCATTTAGATGCAAGTTATCTTAAATTTAACAAACGGACCATCAAAATAAAATGTGGCCCTATTTGCAGCACATCTCTGTATTTGCAAGTGTTATATAACATTTGAAAGAATTTTAAGAAGTTTTTAAGAGTTGACGTGCATGTGTTGTCAAGCTGATGATGATGTTTGCTCAATTTGTTTTTCTACTTCTATTTTAGTCTTAACTTTGCACATTTGAGCTCTCAATATATTTATTGTTATAGTAACCATTCTTGGTGTAAACAAGTTAATGTCAAATGTAATTGGTTAAGGTTATAGCTGACCTTTTCCAGATCTGTATTGATTGCCTCAAAACCACTAAGTAGAGTAATATCAGCAATGGCCATTCCAGAGAGCTTCCTCCCCTGTGTGTGACTGTGAGGTAAGAAGAATGATGTTAATAACCATTAAAACCATCAGACTGTGTTTCAAATGACGTTTAACAATGGTGTTTCTCTTACCTGACACACACTGTATAGACCACATCCTCCTTCGTGTTTTTCGAAGTCTCTCTTTTTTGTCTGCTGCGAGCATCAAACCACTCGATGGCTGACCGAGGGAGATCTTCCTCCTCGTTCGTCTCTTCGGCCTGCCCATAGTCTTCATAGTAATTATAATCTTCTTGTACTACAGCTAAAACAGATTTTTGCACCCCAATCCCCCCCAAAAAAGAGTAAGAAAAAAAAGGCAGAACTGTTGTACACCCGCAAAAAATAACACAGCGATTAACATAAAAAAGTATGCCTGGACTCACATGTGTATTCCACTTTTCCTACTACAGTCACATTTATTGACAAATCAGCACAGTTGCCGTCTTCCTTGAGAGTATAATAAGCCTTTGCCACCTGCAGTATCAGAACAGAATCATTCTCATGAAATTCATTTTATTGAGCTATATAAACATATACATGTAGTAAAGTTTTGTTGTTTTGGGGTCAGTCACATTTTTTTATATCTTTAAAAGAAGTCCCTTATATGTTTCTTTAAGTCTCACAAAATTATAACACTGTAGTTTGTTGTCGTCACCTTGGAATTGTAAGGTTCTGTCTGTGTTTTAAATGATTTTGAGATATTGGGCCCTATCATACACCCGGCGTAATGTAGCGCAAGGCGCGACGCAATTGTTGTTTGCTAGTTTCAGCTTGGCACAAGAGTCATTTAAAGGTTTTGTGCCATGCTGTTTAAATAGCAAATGCATTTGCGCTCATATGTGCACCCATAGGCGTTCTGGTATAAAAAGTGAGGAGTGTTGAGGTGTATTGCCTATTGCCATCAAAATAGAGACCATTAGGTTTTAGGGCTCTATTTTGATGGCACAAAGTGCAAAGCGCAGGGCGCAAATGCATTCAGGGCATGTCAGAATCCACTTTTGCTAATAAAAAGACGTAAAAATCTGCTTTGCGCCGTGGCGCATGGTCTAAAAGGGTTGAGTTTATTTTCTTAATGAGGTGAAGGTGTGTTTTGAGAATAAACCAATCAGAGTCTCATTTCCCATTCCTTTTAAGAGCCAGTTGCGTCGTGCCATCGTGTATTTGCTATTTACATGACGTAAAGTACGTGTAAGTGGAAAAACTGAGCATTTTACTAGCAAGAAAACAGTTAAACAGAGCATCTACTGCACGAGAAGGAGAGACAAATTATTAACTTTCACTTTCGCTTTGGTGGATAGGAAAACCTTGTATGCACAGACATCAATTACCCTATAAATAATTAATTTTGTTTGTTAAGCGCAAATATTTGATTCAAAACTATTTCTATATTCAGTTCTAATTTCCAGCAAACAAATAAATGAACAATAATAAGTGTGGTCAAAAAACTGAGTTATATCCAAATACACATGCTATGCCCCATAGGTGGACAAATCTAAGCTTGTTTTTAATAAAACAATAATATGCAATATGCGTATTAATAATAAATAAGCATATAATAAATAATACTGCTAATAATAATTACATTATACAAAAGCAAATTGTTATAAATGAACAAAAAAAGGCTCTATAAATTAAGAAAGCATGAAGGCAGGGGCTTTTAAATTCATGTAGGCTAGAAAATAATATGTTTTGTAATATTTTAATCCTTTATATTTATATCCTATATATATTCTTGTTATATCCTATATATATATATATATATATATATATCCTTAATATCTAAACATTCCAAACATACTCGTAAAAAAATTATAACTGATTTATTTTATCTTTGCCATAATGACAGTAAATAATATTTTACTTGTTATTGTGTAAGACACTTCTATACAGCTTAAGGTGACATTTAAAGGCTTGACTAGGTTAATTAGGTTAACTAGGCAGATTTGGGTAATTAAGCAAGTTATTGTATAAGGATGGTTTGTTCTACAGTCTATCGAAAAAAAAACTTAAAGGGGCTAATAATTTTGACCTAAAAATGTTTTTTAAAAAAAATAAGAACTGCTTTTATTCAAACTGAAATAAAACAAATAAGACTTTCTCCAGAAGAAAAAAATGTTATCAGACATACTGTGAACATTTCCTTGCTCAGTTAAACATAATTTGGGAAATATTTAAAAAAGAAAAAAAAAATTCAAAGAGGGGCTAATAATTCTGACTTCAAATCACACACGCACGCACCCACCCACCGACCCACCCACACACACACACACACACACACACACACACACACACACACACACACACACACACAGACAAAAATATTAATAAAAACCCATTACCTTCATTTTAGCTTTTCCTTTTCCAGAAAGATTGACATTTATTTCCTGTCCCACTAGTCTCTAGAAAAACAAAAGAGATACTGTGATAAACAGAACAAAAATGAACAAGTGCATCATGGATCCATCTATACTGTGAGTCAGAAAAGAATTACCAATACATTTTCTGGTAAAAAAAAAAAAAAAAAAAAAAGTTAAAAAAATATTAACATCATTGGCAAATAATTTCCAACATTCTTCAAAATATCATCTTTTAGTTTCAACAGAAGAAGTAAACTCAAACTGGTATTAGCGTTGGGTGAGTAAATAATGACAGAATCTTCATTTTTGGATGAACTATACCTTTCAAATAAAGCTGATTCATGAACAGCTTTGTTGAAAAGAAAATGTGAACTTACAGTGACACCTGGAGGATTGTAGATCTAAAAGATCTCTTCAATTTTATCGCTTTAATATAAAAAAAAAAAAAAACATATGTATTTACTGTATGTATTCCAAATGTTCCCACAAGTAAAGCAATACTAGTGAATTCTGACCTCATGGTAAATTTTTTGCTCATAAATCACACAGAATGAAGTATTTTGTCTGTCTGATTGTTTTCTGCGAGGGTTGAGATTGGAATAGGGGAAAAGAATATACAGTATAAAAATCATTACATCTAAGGGAAGAGCCCATGAAGATCTTTACAACTGTGTTTGTGTGTGTGTTCGTGTGTTGTTAAGGAACTTAAATAAGACAAGAATTCCAGCAATTTTAAATATTTTCAGGACATTTTTAGGGATATAGCTTATAACTCATATTAAATGCTGTTTTGTTAAAATTTACATTCAAAATAATATTTTTTGACTTGTTCAAACTACTTATTTAAAATGAGCTGAAACAACACAATTCTTGAGATTTCATTGGGGCCACTTCTTTTTTTATCTTCAATAAACATAATTTTTTTAAAAGTGTTAACTTAATTTGTCTTGGGACAGCATGAATGAATTGTGTGGAACCTTGCATTTTTTTACAGTAAAGGCTGTTCATGTGGTGTTCACAAACATTAAACCAGCAATTACCAATCTGCTCTTATTAGTCAGTTTTAAATTCAGACAGCTTACTTTTAACTCTGCTTCCACTTTATTTTCGCTCTTTTCCAAATTCATCTTCTCCATCTCAGACCTTCCGGTAACAGTAAACTGTGCATTGATTGTGGTGATGGGGGTTTCTGGTAAACTCAATGCATATTCTGAGAGAGCTTCCAAAGCTACGATAGTGTCCTGAAGGGTTTTTGGATAGTTTAGTGTGGACATTTTATATTACCTTTGCAAATATTTTTGAATTTAGAGAAAATAAAATGTCATTGATTCTCACCTGTGTTGATTTGAAACCTCCTTCATAGTTCTCTTGAGAAGACAAGAAGCAGACTGCAGACTGTGCTGTTTTTAAGTCGCTATGTGCCAGCGCAGTCAGGAGAGCATATGCGGTGGTCTCTACTTTTAATGCCACTCTATGCGGCACACGGTTAGATTTCGCTTCATTTACCAGTCGCACATCATCATCATCTTGCCACACAAGACAGTCTCCCTCTAGTCAGGTTGATAAATATATATGAATGAATAAATTAATCAACGAATGACCAATAGATATAAATATTTAAATCTTCAACACATCGATAAAAATGTCAGTGTGATGCAATACCTGGTTTTCCGAGACTTTGGAGTTTCTTCCAGGCTGACAGTGCTTGGGTTCGTTCAGTGAGGCAGGTAGACAAACAGTATGCTGTAATGGCTAATGCATAAGGCCTTTTAAGATTATCAACCCGTTTTAGCAGGAAGTTGGTGGCACGAGCGATGCTTTGGCTCTAATAAGCAATAAAAGACAGTCAGGCTTAAAGCTTGAAAAAAAAAAAAAAAAAAAAAAATATATATATATATATATATATATATATATATATATATATATATATATATATATATATATATATATATATACAGTTCAAGTCAGAATTATTAGCCACCCCTGAATTATTACCCCCCCTGTTTATTTTTCCCCGAATATCTGTTTAACAGAGAGAAGTTTTTTTTTCAACACATTTTGAAAAATAATAGTTTTAATAACTCATTTCTAATAAATGATTTATTTTATCTTTACCATGATGACAGTACATAATATTTGACTAGATATTTTTCAACACACTTCTATACAGCTTAAAGTGACATTTAAAGGCTTAACTAGGTTAATTAGGTTAACTAGGCAGGTTAGGGTAATTAGGCAAGTAATTGTATAAGGATGATTTGCTTTGTAGACCATCAAAAAATTTTGCTTAAAGGGACTAATATTTTTGTCCTTAAAATGTTTTTAAAAAAATAATAACTGCTTTTATTCTAGCCAAAATAAATTAAAAAATATATATATCTTACTGTGAAAGTTCTCTTGCTCTGTTAGACACCATTTAGGAAATATTTGAAAAAAGAAAAAAAAAAAGAAACATCAAAGGAGGGCTAATAATTCTGACTTCAACTGTATATATGTATAAGTAAGTAAAACTAGAGTGGAAGGTTTAATTAGCAAAGTAATAGCTCAGTTTTGCTTAAATATTCTAAAGCACACAGCATTATGGGTGACATTTCAGAGTTTAAAAGAGGACAAATTATCGGTGCACTTATCTATGATGCACCTGCAACCAAAACAGCAAGTCTTTGTGATGTATCAAGAGCCACAGGGTATGAGGGTAATATAAGCATACCACCAAGAATGACAAATCGCATCCAACAGAAGTAAATGTGGACGCAAGAGGAAGCTGTCTGAAAGGGTTTGTATCCAAAAACATAAAACCACAGCTGTCCAACTCAATGTAGAATTAAATGTGCACCTCAGCTCTGTTTATCAGGAGCTCTACAGGGTATATACATATAATTTTCATTTTGCTAAAGTAATGTAAAAAAAATCATTGTTTGCTTTTATTTGAGTATCTTTCTTGATATGCATTACAGTAATTCCAAGACTTTTGTGTTTTCTGACACACTTTGAGCCACTTGGTGTAATTAATTAAACAATACACATCTGCAAAGTTTGGTAGCAAGAAAGTTTTCAAAACGATTTGTCCTCACTTTGACAATTTTTGTAAAAAATTAATGCAAATACAATTTTTTTCGCCATGTATTGTTTGTGGCTCTGTGAATTAATCTGTGCTTAGGTCTCCACAGCTGGTATAAATAATTGTATCACTAGTTCTTACCACAGCAGTTGCTTCTTGGTCCAAGAAAGGCATAGAGCGACAGAGAGCTATTGTGATGAAAGCTGTTAAAGAAGCATCTTGCTCAACTCCTCCAATTCCTCCCTACAACAGAAACACTGAATATCACCACAATGTAATGCAATTCCTGTTTATACTATTTTGACATGTTTGTTAAAGCTTTTAGCAGAACTCTTTTGTTTACTGGCATGCAGACCTGCATTTCTCTGTGATAGACTGGATGAGCATCAGTAAAGGACCCATCTGATCTCTGTGTCTTAATCAAATATGTAACTGCTTGACGGATGTCCTCCTGTGAAATCATCCTTTCTGTTGTTCCATGTTGTTGACGAGTCTCTATTTGTCGTTCAGCCACAAGAGACAATACTTTCACTACTAGTGCAGTCAACCTGTGAAAAGTTGAAAACCATAGAATCAATTACATATTTTATAATTCAAAATCTAAACTAATTATTGGACAAAGCAAAAAATTGGTAGCTAATAGAGTTCAGATGAGCTGCAAGTAAAAAAAAAACTCATGTAATGTACATAGAAAAGACATTGACAAACTGATTGACAATTAATTAATTAATTTGACAACACGCATGCATGCAGATTCTCACAACAAATACAGAAATCCACAAAACTACAAATAGCGCAGACCACCAAAAAAATGTGTCAGGGGACCCCAAAAAGTCAGAACCCAACTGCTTCCTGTGTTGTCGGAGACATGTGATTCTTTTGATTATTTTATAATATGTATATGATGTACATGTGAAATATCTATGTAATGTGGCAAGCATAGCACACAACAAGTCACATTTGTATAACCTGGCATCCTTTTTCCATACTGCCTAAATGCACATCAAATTTACCAGGTGCTTGTCGGAGTCTGTATCCAAGCTCCATAGGATCCATCCGTCTTTTTAAATGTTAAAATTCGTTCATAAGCTGCGAATAAAATGTGAGAATTAAACTTTTAGAGCAGGACATAAGTTTGACACAATCTAATTGTGTAAATGCATGCAATCATTCATCTATTTTATTTATTTGCTTGTAAATGCAAAGTGATACCTGCTATTAAAAAAATGCTTATAAATACCTCACCTATGGTATGTTTTGTTCTTTTGGTACATTTCAGATACATGTCTTACTGTATTTGTTCACATCCATGCAAAGCAGGGTTTAACAAACCACTGACCATCTGCTTGTTAAGTGTGACGTCACAGGAAGCAGCTTCTGCGTCCAAGCGCTCTATTCAATTGTATGGGGAGACTCATGAAATGGTAGAAATGGTAATAATAAACGTTTACAAAACGCTTTAATTCTTTCGAAAATCACGATCACAATATATATGTCCATGCCTAATATCCGATGGCCAGAAAGTGATTTATTTTTTAATAAATTGTTAAAAGTTTGGTATTTGTGATGCAGCAATCCCAGAGACTATTGTGTACACAATGAGTTTATATAACATTCACTTTAATGTGTGATATAAAATAAAAAGTGACCATAAACAAATATTTTCTCAACTCAAATGAGTGGCGGCTTGGATCCGGAAACAGTATTACATACAGTTGAAATCAGAATTATCAGCCCCCCTGAATTATTAGCGCCCATGTTTATTTTTTTCACCAATGTCTGTTTAATGGAGGGAAGATTGTTTCAGCACATTTCTAAGCATAATAGTTTTAAAAACTTATTTCTAATAAAGGATTTATTTTATCTTTGCCATGATGACAGTAAATAATATTTTACTTGATATTTTTCAAGACACTTCTATACAGCTTAAAGTGACATTTAAAGCCTTAACTAGGTTAACTAGGCAGGATAGTGTAATTAGGCAAGTTATTGTACAACAATGGTTTGTTCTGTAGATTATATAAAAAAAAAAAAAATTAGCTTAAAGAGGCTAATAATTTTTTCCCAAAAATGGTTTTTAAAAAATTAATAACTGCTTTTATTCTAGCCAAAATAAAACAAATAAGACTTTCTCCAAAAGAAAAAAATAGTATCAGACATACTGTGAAAATTGTCTTTCTCTGATAAAAATTATTTGAGAAATATTTAAAAAAATAAAATAAAATCAAAAGGCGGCTAATAATTCTGACTGCAACTGTATGTCACCAACATGTTACCACTTAACAAGCGGATTAAACCTATAGATTACTTTTACATTCTTTGAGGAAATGTACTTCAAAGAACTTAAATTTAAAAAATCTCTGCATCACAATAGCACAATAGCTCATGATAATGATATATCATTAGTGTAAAAAGGAACAAAGGTTGCTGGTTCTTGGTAGTGTTCATTTTAGCAACAGATTGCAGTCAAATGTGTGTTTAAGCACTTATTTGCGGTTTCACAAAAATGTAGAATGTACAGTAGGTTTCAGTGAACCTGTGTTGCAACTACTTATTTTATCTTATTTACAAACCCTAAGACTTATTTCTGTAAAAGTTTGTAATACTGGTCCAAAAAGTGTGGACTGTGAAAAAAATACTTGATCATACTGTAATGTACATGTGTCTCTCAAAACCTTAATTGTTTTGTACAATGCAAAAATGCTTTTCTTACTTTTTTGTCTGTTTTTGTTCAAAATATAGAAATGTTCTTAAATCAAGAAGCATTTTCTAGATGAAAACTTTGTTTTGTTTTAGGAAATAATATGGCAAAAATAAGTGAGTTGTTCCTTAAAAAATGTAAATAATCTGCCAGTGGGGTAAACTAAACAATCTTGTTTTTCCTTTTGACGTAAGATGATTTTGCTAATCCCATTGGCAGATTGTTTTTTTTTAAAGGTAAAACTCACTTATGATTTATTATTTCTGAAAACAATTCTTAATGTTTAGACACTTAGACTAGAAACAAGTAAAAAATCTGTTTAAGTTTTTTGCAGTAAATAAAAATGGCATGGTCTGTTTTTTTTTTTTTTTTTAATTATGGCATACAGATATACTAAACCTTGCTCAATGAAATCCAGTGCTTTGTCTCTGGATCCTGCTTCTAGTTCCAGCCAGCGCTGACTTTTATCCAGGTAACGGATTGACAAGGCAGTGGGAGACATAAAGATCATAGTCTGTTCTCCACAGCCTTTAGGTGCTTGGATCAGATTTTCCACTTTGGATGATGAAAGTAATGGAACTGCAGTGGACTGGGCAAATATTTCCTCTGCACGGACAAAATTTGAGCTCAATTAGTTTTTTTTATTGAGTATAAATTAGACTTAAAAAATTGAGAATTTAAAAGCATCCTCAACAAATTGTTGCTCTGGACCTTCTAGTTTGACAAATAGATTAACATCAGTTTCAGGAACAGTGTTGTTAGGGAAAAATCCATTGATGGATAAGCGGTGATCACTTCTGCCTGATAAAACAAAAATCAGATTTTACACATGATAAAGTTACAATGTCCAAAACTGACAGAGCTTTTACAAATTCCCCCAAAATATTTATTTTTATAAAAGCAAAAATCTATACAGTATCTGTGGTGAGAAATGAAATGACGTGACCAATAAGTGAACAATCTTACCATCTAGATTAATCAAATAAGTCAGCTCTTCTCTCATTTCCACTCCCTCGTTCTGTGACATAAAGAAAAAGAAGAATAAGTGATATTATAATAACTGAAATGACACCCTTACAACTTCAACAACAACAAAGTATATGAAAAAGTTGTGTATATCCCCATACTACTTCTTCTTACCTTGACCAAGAGTATCTTTTGAATAGCATCCACTTCAATTTTTTCTTCAATATCATAGATTGCAATAGTGATAGGGATTTCGCCTTTTACCATGGGGACAGCAGGGAAAGTAACAGTTTGAGAAGATGCTGGTTTCAGGCTGAATCTGACGGAAGATGATGACGTTGCTGACCCGGGTGAACAAAGACCATCCACTTGTCGCATGCGCACAACAAGCTGAAAAATTATTTAGAAGATTGTATTGGTAATCAATAATCTACTAATACACTACAAGCCATTTTTATAGGATAGAAAGAAATTAATTAAATATCTATAATATTTATAAATTTATAGATTTATATATATATATTTGTGTGTGTGGTGGGTTGTTATCTGCATTAACATGCTGCGTAAGCGCGAGACTTTTAACCCGTGATAAAAATATCACCGTTAATCTAATCTCAAAGTTGGGTTCAGAGCTGGGTATATTCTATGCAAGCTATGATGACTTTCACCTTGATATTTTGGTGCGGATGTATACCTGACCGGTGAGCCGTCTGACAAAAAAATGCCCTTCTGAATCAAATCAGCAGGTTGTCCTTCTGGATCCTTCACTTATATCAAGGATTCTTCTGACTATTCGTTTACATGGACATCAGTAATCTATTTATTTGCCTTAATAGACAATAATATAATTAAAGTCTTACATGAAGTGCTTTCATTTTAGACTTTCCTGTAATTTTGGGTGACTAACTGCAGTTCAGCCGTTTCACTTTAACTGATGAACATTTCATTCATGCTCCCGTTACAAACTGGGGTATTAGAAGCAAATAAGGAGTAAGGACTGGTGAAAGTGTTATAAAATTTATTAACGCATGCTAACTGGAAAGACAAAAACTTCCGCATTTCACAATGTGTGTGTGTTTGTGCAGTCCTTTACTGACAGCTGCTGTGTATCTTATCGGGGAATATGGCGAGAAGTCCTACATGAAGGTGTTTATTTTAATAATGCCACAAATATCTGCATACTCCACATGTTTAAATTCCATTTCTGTTTAGTTCAGTTATGACTTTAATCGGATTGAGGTCACCAAAAATCGCTGTTTCGAGCTTATGTAGGCCTACAGTTCAAAATTCATGTTTAACTGAATAAACTGTAAACACGAGTACATCCTAATAAACATCATTTATTTACATCACCAATTATGATAGTAGAAGTTTCTCAAGCAGTTTGTGATGCATTTTGGAAACCAGAGATGAGCCCCTGGTCTAATGTGCCACCTGGCTGAAACCCGTTCTCAAAGACTTACTGTATATTTAGTATTTAGTCATAATTTGGGTAGCACACATAATCTGAATGCCTTCGGCAGAATTCAAATGAGCCATTTTAATTCCAATTATCCAGTTATTATATATTATTAAAAAAATATCTATGCCCCCACCTATAATATATATATATATATTAGTGCTGTCAAAATTAGTGCGTTAACGCATGCGATTAATTTTAAAAAAATTAATGCATAAAAAAAATTAACGCAATTAACACAGTTGCAGGTTTGTTTTACTTCCTGTTGTGGTGGACGTGTTTTTAACATGCGAGAAATGTGGATAAGACCAAGGAAGCACTTTTTGAAGGCAAGTTTCAGTATAAAACAATTAGTCGCATCACCAGGCTCTCCAGAGTTTCATGCAATTTCGGGTGTTTAATTTTTAACTTTCGATTTCTGTTGTAAGTTGATACCGCATGGCGAACAGAAAGAAAATCCTCCGCATTTCGTGACTCGGTGTTCCTTTAAGGTAATAAAATCACTGCTTAGGCTACACGGTAGAATTTTAAAAAGAATATAGTCTTAATCATATTAAAATCGGAGTATTGGTGTCTTATGTAAATGTACTCAGAAAGTTTCTGGTGAAGTCACGAGCTGTCAAAGAGGGCATTACTCTGCCTTTCAGCATGAGCCCTCCAAGTTTAGCGTGTTTCCTCATTAAACGCAACGAAAGCGTATGCTTCGCGTTGTTGTGTCAAAATCCTTGTGAAATACAGTAATACTTTAGGACGCTTAGTTTAAGCAAATTTGATGAACGTGATCATGCGTGTTGAATCTGAGGGGAGTCACTCCAGCACGTTGTGTGTGTGTCTGTGTGTGTGTCTGTGTCAGGCCTGTTGAGGGGTGTCATGGGTGGAGTGAGCGACGTATCTGAGTAGGTGGGGGTGAGTTGCGCGCGACATAGGCTACCTGAAGAGCTAGAAGGGATGCGGGGGAGAGTTGTGTGCAATGTATTTAACGACCGGTTTGTGAGAAATTATCATTCATTTTCGGGCATCCCGGAGTCTCTGTGCACTTGCGGGATACTCCTAGTCTTAACAACTGGATGAATGTAAAGGAGGATTAAGCAAAATTGTTTCTACTCTACAATTAATGTTCTCAACTCACAGCAATAAAACTTTACAATGAGTGCAACAGTTTGTATTCTATAGTTTATTATTATAATCTCCATTTTCCATATCTGCAATTCCTGTATTTTGCCATTTTTTTGCAGTCCACTTAGAATCCAACATGGAAATCAATGTTTTCTTTATTGGCATTGATTGTTTTGAAATTTTAATGTCATTAACATGCCTGTGTTTTATTTCTTTAATAAATATGGCTGTCAAGCCAGGATCTTGATGGTTTATTGTGGGTATGTTGTTTTCATGAAGAAATCTGTGTTACAAGTTAAACAAAAATTCTAATAAACAATTATATTTTGAATTTTAGTTCTAATTAACAATTATATTTTGAATTTAAATAGTTTTTGTCCTGCGTTTACATTAATTTTACATTTGAATAGCCAAAATTTCAAGTTTCAGTATTTTTAATCTGATTAATCGCGATAATTTTTTAAAAAATTAATTAATTGATTAATTAATTAATTAATTTATTAATTAATTTGATTAATTAATTTTTTAAAATTGATTGACAGCACTATATAATATATATATATATATATATATATATATACACTGTAAAAAATTGATGTTAAAAAACGGTCAGATTCTACGGGAAAATAATGTTTTTTCACTAAGACAGTAATATTCTGTTAAAAACAGTGCATTCTGGGTAACATTTTTGTTTTCGAGAAAGTAACCAACTGCAGAAAACTGTGAGCGAACAGAGTTCAGATTTGACGTTTTGAAGTCAGTGTTTGAAATCACATTTTGTGCCCTTGTTCACTATTTCATCAACTAGCTCACCAATATAGTTCACCTGACAGAGTTAATGAACACTAATGAGTGAATTCAGACACTGATGAACACCTGCTGTTAATAATCTCAATTACTGAAGGAAAGAAACAAGAAACGCAAACAGTGACTTGAGTTACAACATTAAATAAAATCAAGTAAAATAAAACACCTTCAGTCTCAGCAGAGGATCATTAAACAACTCCACAAACAACAGCAGATACACTTATTACTGACTGCTTGGACTTCCATACTATTCTCATTGAGATCCAACAGAAATTTAGGTGTTTTTTGTATCACCGTAATGGAGTGAGGGGCTGATTTAGTTGGGCTCTTCACCCTTGAACTCATTTAATTAGACTTTCCAACTGCTGTAATACAAAGTTTACAAAATGTTTGTACTATAGCAATTAAATGGGAAAATTAATAGATAGATTAATCTAGTTTTCTGAAAATTGTTCTCATGAATGTTTTGGTAAGGTTTGGATGAAGGGCCTCATGCAACAGATTTTATGCTTAGTTGCAGATTTTCACTTAAATAATAAGTGAAAAACAGAAAAGATGTAATTACCTTAAAGTTAATATAACATACAAAAACATTTCTGATATGACAAAGACACACTCAGACCTCATGAATCAGACCATGTACCTCAACAATGGTACCAATTCAAATGTTTCACGCTGCAATGCATGCTGGTTGTGGGACAGTACAAATATCCCAACATGCATTGCGGAATGAATAAATGTAGTATAATGGTCCTACAGTTTTCTTTATTTGCGTTTTATTCTGTTGTTGTTTATGTTTAGACTATCAGTTGCCTGTTTGTGAGTTAAACTGTTAATTTTGTTAGTTGTCACCATTATTGAGGTTCATACGCTGATAATTGATGTCTGTTTGAGTGCAACTTAATTCATAGAGCAGTGTTTTAGTCCAAGATATTCTTTAAAACTTTCAGAAATCATTGCAGTAGCAGGAGCAGTAAATTATATTCAATTAGAACAGATTCTGCCATTTAATAGCAACATAAACATCACCAGATCTTATATAGGTTTTTGGCTGGCTTGCCTCATCAAAAGAGCTTTTTAAACAAAGTTCTTGACATTTGCAGCAGACAAATTACATTAATGATAAAATTGTCAGGGCTGAGAGCCCGACTAAAGCAAACTCTGTTCTCCATGATGGTGACGTAAAATGTTAACCTTTCTCTCAGGAAGAACTTTAGTAGATGTTATACAAAAATAAATGTTTCAGTAATAAGTGTAGCTGGTGATGCTGTTTGTAGAGTTGTTCAATCATCCACTGATAATTTAAATGATTTAATCATTTGTTGACCTTCAGGTTATTTCATTTCAAAGCTGTGACTAAAATTGTAGTTTTGTATGTTCTTTTCTTGTTTTTTCCCTTCAGTATTTCTTCATTTGTTCACTGCTAATCCTCAATTATCATTTAATTTGTCATTTAATTAATTAATTTACTTCAGCTTTGCTACGTTTCTTGAACGCTCAGTAGTGTGGACACTTCAATTAAAACTGAAGTATATGCTCTGGGATTTAAAGGGTTAAAGGTGTAAAAGTAAAAACACAGTGTAAAAAATGTATTTTAACAGTAATATACTGTTAATTTAAACTACGGAAGTAGACTGTAAAAAAACAGTAGATTGCTGGCAACCACAGCTGCCAGTAGTTTACCGTCAAATAAAGGAAAAAAACTGTATTTTACTGTTTAACCTGAAGCAAATTTCTTCTGTGTGTCACCGTTGTGGAGGAGAGTAGAGCCAGTGTATGAGCTAAAGATGAACGATGAACTGCTGATGTTATTCTGTATGTTTCTTTATTTAAAGACAGCAGCTGTTTAGTTGCTGATGCAGTCAAAATCTCTCTGGTAATTCCAGATTTACATGTATGTGTGCTGCTGTGAAATATAAGAAATTTGGGTTAAATAAAACTTTTTCTAATTAACTAAAAAAAGGTATCATTATGATTATGCTTCCAAGCATATATAGCACAATACTTCATAAACTCATTCAGCAGTTGGCCAATTTGAGGATGTTGCTTTCAGTGAACAAAATGAGTTCACTTGAGTATTGTGTATATCAATGTAGTCCATGTATTTTTAGAGCAACATACTGTAAAATAACAGTACATTGTTGGCAACTGCAGCTGCCAGTATTTTACATTTTTTTAACGGGACAATTTTTAACAGTATATATATACATATACATAGTTGAAGTCAGAATTATTAGCCCCTCTGTTTAATTTTTTCCCCATTTTCTGTTTAACGGAGGGAGGATTTTTTTCAAGATATTTCTAAACACAACAGTTTTAATAACTCATCTCTAATAACTGATTTATTTTATCTTTGCCATGATGACAGTAAATAATATTTGACGAGATATTTTTCAAGACACTTCTATACAGCTTAAAGTGACAATTAAAGGCTTAACTAGGTTAATTAGGTTAACTAGGCAGGTTACTCAGACTTCACACAGAAATGCCAGCAGTGCTAACCACTGAGCCACCATATTGCCCTAACAACCTAAGTGAACAGTTCTTTAAAAATATATATTTTTCATAGTGCAGAAATATATATATATTTTTTTTTTCTCACAAAAAAATATCATTGTGATTTTATATTATGTTACATTTTATATTGGTGTGAACTTTTTGTTGTGTATTTATACTGTACAGGTTCTCCATGGAGTGAATTAGCCACTTGTCAGAGTTTACAAATAAATAAATGAATAAATGATGACTAACAAAAGAATAAATAAATAAATAAATAAATAAATGAATAAACACTGTAAATAAATAAATGGATAAATAAATAATGAATAAATAAACAAACAAACAAATACATAAATAAATAAATAAATAAATAAATAAATAAATAAATAAATAAATAAATAAATAAATAAATAGGCGAGGCAGTGGCGCAGTAGGTAGTTCTGTCGCCTCACAGCAAGAGGTGGCTGGGTCACAGGTTCGAACCTCGGCTCAGTTGGCGTTTCTGTGTGGAGTTTGCATGTTCTTCCTGCCTTCGCATGGGTTTTCTCTGGGTGCTTCGGCTTCTCCCACAGTCCAGTGACATGTGGTACAGGTGAATTGGGTAGGCTAAAATGTCCGTAGTGTATGAGTGTGTGTGGATGTTTCCCAGAGAAGGGTTGCGGCTGGAAGGGCATCCGCTGCGTAAAAACTTGCTAGATAGGTTGGCGGTTCATTCCACTGTGGCGACCCTGGATTAATAAAGGGACTAAGCTGACAAGAAAATGAAATGAATGAATGAATGAATAAATAAACAAATAAATATCTTAATCAAACCTCCATTTCCATTTTGCCATAATTAAAGATCACTGCAACTATAGACAGTTGCTCATAGCGCTTGACTGAATAGGGAAGCCTCAGAGAAATAAACACAGGCTTAAATGCAGTGAGGTCAACAGGCTCTGCCACACAGAAACCTGTAGGTGAAAAAAAAAATCTAAAGTTTAGCTAAATTGTGGACTGAAATTAATTTTGAAAGCAGAGAGAGGAAAAATTACCATGAGATGGAGATAAGCTGAGAGCCTGGATCTCCCATGTTGTGATAGAATGGGGTAAATGGATTCTGTGCCTGCAAGAATATTTAAGATATGATGCAATTCCACATTTTCTCTTAGATTCTCACATCTTAAACACTTAAGTATTTCATTATTTAATGGCTCTTTGTGAAAACAGTTAAATAACAGTTTTCCATATTTTGTGATTCATTTGTGTTTTGTATTTATTTATGCTTATCAACTGCATTATGGGACAGGTTGATCTCTGCTCAGATTTCATGTTAATAAGTTTAGTACTAGGAGGTGGTGTTGAACTTGATTTTTTTTCTTGTCAGTGCGGTCACCTTCTGCATGCCGCAAGTTAGTAAAATATAGATGGCGGTATCACAGAAATGTGCAAACAACATTTATAACCAGTTTTCATTAAAGTGTTGGTCAGTTTGTCTGCTTCAAAATTCCATTTTGCACTACAGCAATTAAATTGAAGCCAAACCATCTTTTCTCTTTCGTTAAAACAGATGTTGCCAAAGTTTTCTTCTCACAATATCACAATATATAAAATTGCTGTAATATTGAATCATGACAATTTCTTATCATGGGGATTCTTATTAAGATATAGACTCTTATTAAGATATTGTTCCCATAATGAAATTTAAAAGTGTAAATAAACAGAGACCCCTGTGAATCAAGAACAGGCAAGTATTATTAGAACATGTAACAGTGTACAATAACTGAAAGATACTCACCTAACCTTTCCTTTCACGTCAATCTGTTTGAACTCAAAGCTTGGAGGGAAATAATGACGAATGTTTTGTATTTCAAAGTCAAAAAATTCCTCAACTTCATTAGAATTAATAGCTGTAAAAATATAAAAAAATGTAAATGAAAATGTATATACAGATTTCCATTAAGTTTATATTCACACAAGAATAATGTACAAAAAGAAAAAAAAACATTGTTTTTCTTAACAGATGACAAGGTTTTTATATATCGTTAACAAGCAAAAGACATCTGTGCACAATTGGCCGTATATTTCACCATTATTTTGGTACTCACACATGTCTATGCCACCAATTTTTTGTTTTTAGCAGCCAAAAGCATTGTTTGTTGTGTAAATAAATGATCAAAACAAGTAAAATATTTCAGTGTTTATTGAAAATTGTGTTGTGTACATGGTGTTATACTCACTTCTGCCATGTCCTGTCCTCATGTCTTCTCTCCTCTTTTTGTCTCTCAGCTTTGTTGCAAACTCACAGCACTCTCTGAAGGCATTCACACAGTCTTTGCTTTCGGTTTTGCTCACTCTTTTTGCTCGTTCGTCGCAAGTAAACTTCATAGGAATCAGGGTGAATCCATGGCGACAGCATTTCTGTAATTCTGTTTTCTTAAACGCAGCCTCTGCAGGTCAAAAGAAATAAACAGAAATTAACAACATGTGCTGCAAAATCAAATAAAGCCCAGTGTATCTATTTTGAATCTATTTTGAATTTACTTTTTGCTTGTCCCTTTTAACCAGCACGATTCAATCTGATGTAATAATTAAATACTATTACACTCATTGTCTTTAAAAGCAATTTTAAAACCATTTTTGAGTTAAACCCCTGAGTTCATCCAAGTACAGGTGACTGCCACTTTGTTAAATGAAACATAAAATGCAATATTCAACTATAATACTACACCTTTTCTTGCCATTTCTGCTTGAACATCAATCTCACGTTTGTTGCGTCTAAAACCAGACTCACAGCTGAAACCTAGACAATCAACAGAAAAATGTTTTTTTAAATGTTGCAGATTTGTTAAGTACAAAAAATAAGCACCGAACCACTTTGTTTTTTTGTTTTTTTCTAGAGCAGGGGAGTCCATACATTGTCTTTAAAGGGCACTGTCCTTAATCTAAGTTTATGTAAACTCTACTCTTGGTAAACAGTTCCTCTCCAAGATATCTGTATCTGAAATCGACCACTAACCTGCAATCACTACTCCTTACAAGTCCACAGCCTAGGCTGGTTGGCTGGTTTTAGCTGGTCGACCAGGCTGGTTTTAGAGGGGTTTTGGCCATTTCCAGGCTGGTTTCCAGCCATTTCCAGCCTGGTCTTAGCTGGTCAGGCTAGGAGATGACCAGCTAAAACCAGCTTGATCAGACTAGCCAGGCTGGGAGCCCAGCCAAAACCAGCTATGTCCAGCTTAAACCAGGCTGGTCAAGCTGGTTTTAGCTGGATTAGCTGGTCATTTTCCAGCCTGACCAGCTAAGACTAGGCTGGAAATGGCTGGAAACCAGCCTGTAAATGGCCAAAACCCCTCTCAAACCAGCCTGGTTGACCAGCTAAAACCAGCCAACCTGCCAAGGCTGGTTTAAGCTGGATTTTTCAGCAGGGATGCCATTTTGTTTATGTTTTTCTGGTTGATAAATCCTTCAGGAAGATTAGAATTCTTGGTTAGACCCTGTGATTATTGTTCAACATTAAGTGCGTTGTCTATTAGTAGTGAAAGTATTTTGATTTCTGTCATGTATACAAATGTTACTGTGATTAAACAATACACTGGTATTACACAGTGGATGCCATCTTGTGGTCAAATTAATTTGGCACATGAACTCTGAAACCGAAACCGCATACCTCCATAATATACAGTAGGCTATACAGTACTATAACGTACTTTTTTAACGGTCGAGTAGTAAGTTTAAATTAAAATGCCGCACCTACTGAGTAGGAGGTTTCCAAAAACCGCATACTTCCATACTATATAGTACGGAAAATCAGTGTGCGAGCCGAGTAGTATGTCCGAATTCATAGAATTCGAAAATCAGTATGCAAGAAGTACCAAGGATGACTTACTAGTTCCGGCGAGATTCTGAAGTGCGCATCACATGCATGCTGCGCTATCCCATGATGTCCCGTGAGAGAATTCATGAATGGGAGTAAATCGGCGCAACTGACGCAGGTAGGTCACGTGACCATGACAAAAAGGTGGATGTACACTGTTAAAATTGTCCCGTTAAAAAACTGTAAAATACTGGCAGCTGCAGTTGCCAGCAATGTACTGTTATTTTACAGTATGTTGCTGTAAAAATACATGGACTACATTGATATACACAATACTCAAGTGAACTCATTTTGTTCACTGAAAGCAACATCCTCAAATTGGCCAACTGCTGAATGAGTTTATGAAGTATTGTGCTATATATGCTTGGAAGCATAATCATAATGATAACTTATTTTAGTTAATTAGAAAAGTTTTATTTAACCCAAATTTCTTATATTTCACAGCAGCACACATACATGTAAATCTGGAATTACCAGAGAGATTCTGACTGCATCAGCAACTAAACAGCTGCTGTCTTTAAATAAAGAAACATACAGAATAACATCAGCAGTTCATCGTTCATCTTTAGCTCATACACTGGCTCTACTCTCCCCCACAACGGTGACACACAGAAGAAATTTGCTTCAGGTTAAACAGTTAAATACTGTTTTTTTCCTTTATTTAACGGTAAACTACTGGCAGCTGTGGTTGCCAGCAATCTACTGTTTTTTTTACAGTCTACTTTCGTAGTTTAAATTAACAGTATATTACTGTTAAAATAAATTTTTTTTACACTGTGTTTTTACTTTCACACCTTTAACCCTTTAAATCCCAGAGCATATACTTCAGTTTTAATTGAAGTGTCCACACTACTGAGCGTTCAAGAAACGTAGCAAAGCTGAAGTAAATTAATTAATTAAATGACAAATTAAATGATAATTGAGGATTAGCAGTGAACAAATGAAGAAATACTGAAGGGAAAAAACAAGAAAAGAACATACAAAACTACAATTTTAGTCACAGCTTTGAAATGAAATAACCTGAAGGTCAACAAATGATTAAATCATTTAAATTATCAGTGGATGATTGAACAACTCTACAAACAGCATCACCAGCTACACTTATTACTGAAACATTTATTTTTGTATAACATCTACTAAAGTTCTTCTTGAGAGAAAGGTTAATATTTTACGTCACCATCATGGAGAACAGAGTTTGCTTTAGTCGGGCTCTCAGCCCTGACATTTTTATCATTAATGTAATTTGGCTGCTGCAAATGTCAAGAACTTTGTTTAAAACGCTCTTTTGATGAGGCAAGCCAGCCAAAAACCTATATAAGATCTGGTAATGGTTAAGATGCTATTAAATGGCAGAGTCTGTTCTAATTTAATATAATTTACTGCTCCTATTCAGTGTTCACATCATATGTGGCAATGATTTCTGAAAGTTTTAAAGAATATCTTGGACAAAAACACTGCTCTATGATTTAAGTTGCACTCAAACAGACATCAATTATCAGCGTATGAACCTCAATAATGGTGACAACTAACAAAATTAACAGTTTAACTCACAAACAGGCAACTGATAGTCTAAACATAAACAACAACAGAATAAAACGCAAATAAAGAAAACTGTAAGACCATTATACTACATTTATTCATTCCGCAATACATGCTGGGATATTTGTACTGTGCCACAACCAGCATGCATTGCAGCGTGAAACATTTGAATTGCTACCATTGTTGAGGTACATGGTCTGATTCATGAGGTCTGAGTGTGTCTTTGTCATATCAGAAATGTTTTTTATATGTTATATTAATGTTAAGGTAGTTACATCTTTTCTGTTTCCACTTATTAATTAAATGAATATCTGCAACTAAACATAAAAACTGTTGCATGAGGCCCTTCATCCAGACCTTACCAAAACATTCATGAGAACAATTTTCAGACAACTAGATTAATCTATCTATTAATTTTCCCATTTAATTGCTATAGTACAAATATTTTGTAAACTTTGTATTACAGCAGTTGGAAAGTCTAATTAAATGAGTTCAAGGGTGAAGAGCCCAACTAAATCAGCCCCTCACTCCATTACGGTGATACAAAAAACACCTAAATTTCTGTTGGATCTCAATGAGAATAGTATGGAAGTCCAAGCCGTCAGTAATAAGTGTATCTGCTGTTGTTTGTGGAGTTGTTTAATGATCCTCTGCTGAGACTGAAGGTGTTTTATTTTACTTGATTTTATTTAATGTTGTAACTCAAGTCACTGTTTGCGTTTCTTGTTTCTTTCCTTCAGTAATTGAGATTATTAACAGCAGGTGTTCATCAGTGTCTGAATTCACTCATTAGTGTTCATTAACTCTGTCAGGTGAACTATATTGGTGAACTAGTTGATGAAATAGTCAACAAGGGCACAAAATGTGATTTCAAACACAGACTTCAAAAACGTCAAATCTGAACTCTGTTCGCTCATAGTTTTCTGCAGTTGGTTACTTTCTCGAAAACAAAAATGTTACCCAGAATGCAGAATTTTTAACAGCATATTACTGTTTTAGTGAAAAAACATTATTTTACCGTAGAATCTGACCGTCTTTTAACAGCAATTTTTTACAGTGTAGTATGTCCGAACTCCATTCATACTTTTCACATTCATACTGTATAGAACTTCTCTAACGGCCGAGTAGTACTTTAAAATTCAAATGCAGTACCAACTGAGTAGTAAGCAGTTTCGGATGAAGCCCATTGTTCAGTGAAGTTGTAGGTGATCTTTTAAAAGTGAGTTTTTTTGTTTGTTTATTTTAATATCTCAATTTTTGTGTCTTTAGTATTTGTTAGCCTTAAGTACCGTAACCTAAATAGCTTGGTCCATCATGTTTTAGAGGTTGCAAATTGCATACTCATGCACTATTCTATGTCATTTTTTAGCATAAGTAGGGCATTCACACTCAAAACTCTAAAAATAATAAGTGCACCTTAATTACCCAGATGATGCACTTATTCAACCACTAAAATGAAGTGTGTAATGATAGACATTTTACACACTCAACAGCCACTGTTTTGATCACATAGCAGATGGGCCGGAGCTATTGGACACACATGTTGGATAATCTTATTTTGGTTTGTGAAAGCAAAATGGCAGCTATAACTATGACTATAACTATGGTTATAGTTATGGCAGGTATAATTGGTACTTTGGTCATTTATTTAACTAGGGCAACCGTAAAGCATCATCAGAGAAAAACGGTTTGAATTTCCGCTTAGTAAAAAAAAATAAATCATTAGTGTTTTATTTGGGACGATACTACATACATACAGAATACTATGATGTGGAGTGTGTAAGTGGATAAGTACATAGTGCATATATGCATAGTGTATAGCAGTGGTGCTCAACCCAGTTCCTGGAGATCGACCTTCCTGCAAAGTTCAGCTCCAACCCTGATCAAACACACCTGAACCAATTAATTAGGACCTGAACAGCATTTGATAATTACAGGCAGGTGTGTTTGATATGGGTTGCAACTGAAATCTGCTAGAAGGTCGATCTCCTGGAACAGGGTAGGTCATGCCTGGTGTATAGAGTGGCATTTGGAACGCAGCTATGTCTGTAAAAAGGCAGCACATTTTTTTAAAAATGCGTTTGTGTTGTGAGGATGTGCAGCACGTGTGCTGTCAAACTAATGAAGATCTTTTCTCAATATGCTGTTGTTTTTTGTAATTTCAATTTGCACTTGTTTTCTTAAATTACAGCACGTTAAGCTCTATCTGCCACTACGTCACAACAAGAAATGGCTGCTCCTTTAAATATTATGATTTAAGGTTATAGGGGCCAATTTCAGATACAGTCTATGTTTGGACACCCCTTACCAAAGACAATTTTGGTCTGATTTCACACCTTTTCTCATCGCTGAACGAATCGTGGTGGAGTGAGAGATGAAGGCCAGGCCAGCATCGTTAAAAACAGCTGCTGTATTCTCACCACCGCCATAAGAACACCCCAGATCATAAGACTTCATAGAGGCAAACACCTTTGCACAGGTAAATAAGAAACATAAAAACCGTCAAGATCCAACATCAATTGTCTATCTGGTACAAAAATAAAAGTACACACCTGTTTCTGGGTGAGTTTGTTTTGAGCCCCCAAGGCGTAAATGGCTTTGTCCACAACTTGTAAGGCTACTTTTGCATTTTTCTGTTGTCCTACATCAATGTCAAGCTCAGCTGTGCTTTCAGGTTCATAATTATGATTGCCATAATTATGATGCAGTTTTACCTCAAACTAAATGGAGGGTAAGAGAGCAGAACAGTAAACCTGTTTGTGTTTGTTATTGAAACAAATAGCTGTAACCTTTTGACCATTTAAAATGAATGTAAATGCTTTTTTTATTGTTTACCTCTCCATCACAAGTGTCCTCTACGTCTACCCATACAGAATCAGCGATGATGTCACCCTCTTTGATATAGTAAAAAGCAATCAATCTGAAGGATGGGGTCATGTTTGGGTGTATTTGGATGGATTTTTTTACTTCAGAACCTGATGCAACAGAGCCTGTTGATCTCAACATACCTCTGCTGACAATCTGAAGAGACACATGCTTTTCTTAAAGGGATACTACACAAATACAAACAAAAAATCATTTACTCATCCTTTGCTTGTTTCAAACCTTTACAAATGTTTTTCTTCTGTTAAGTGCAAAATAAGATATATTTTAAAAAATGTTAAAAACTTTGAACCATTGACTTCCAAAGTATTTTCGGTTCAAAACTTATAATGATAAACGTAAGTGAAATGTGGACAAGTGGTGGTGCTACAGAGTTCGAGTTAGAGATGTCAGGTTTACTGTGGTTCATGTTTAAACTGCCCTCTATCATTGTGCCAAATTATACAACTCTTCCGCATATGGTTATATGGGCTGCCATTCAAATTCGGCAGAAGAAGAAGAAGAAGCAGAATAATAAAAATAATAATAGGAACGCTAATGGAAACAATGGGTGCCTCCAAAGCTTTGCTGCTTGACCCCCAATAATAAAAATGATACAATACATTTCATAAATTAACATATTTCAATGGAAAAAGGTGATAATGAACTGTAATAGAACTTCAGATGTGCCTTTACTTTAATTTTATGATACATTCTAAAACAATACTTACCATATAATATATTTGCCCATCTTCTGGATTACCTTTGGGGTAAAATGAGACTTCCAGAAACTGTCCTGATGATAAGACTTTATTTGTCACACTCATATAAAGGAAGCTTGTGGATTTCATCGGATGCACAGCTCTTATTGACTTGGCATTATCCACAGTTGCCTGCAGAAAATACTCAATTAGGAAAATACATCTTACATAACAGGGAATTTGAAATTATTCTTGAAAGTATGTGCTTTTAACAAAGCAAACACAATAATTCCGAGCTCTATATTTCAAACAACAGCTAGTATTTCTGACATCATTTACTCAACCTCAAGTTGTCCCAGACCTTTTTGAGCTTCTTTCTGTTGTTAAATGCAAAAGAGGAAGATTGACTGATTGATTGATTGATTGATTGATTGATTGATTGACTGATTAAACAATGAATGGCTTTCATCTACCACTGTTCTTCGAAATGTCTATGGTTTTGTTCAAGGTTTGGAACAACTTTGGAGAGATTTTTATTTTTATTTTTTTGCAAGCATAGTGTATTTGGGTGTATTAACCTGCACTAAAACTGAAGGTGGTTTTCCGTCTAGGTTGAAGCTGTAAAATGCGATTCCTTCTTTATTAGTAGTAACAATTGTAGACTTTTCTTTAGAGTTCGAGACATCTAATTTAACTTGAACGCCTTCAGCAGGAGAACCATTTGGGTGACGAACTGTGACCTAGACAAAAACATAAATAACTGACATCAAAGAATGAAATCATGAGCAAAATATTACCAAATTTGTGAAAGCTGCCTTGATAAAATATAATAACCGATTAGTGGTGAATTACAATACTCTCTGACTGCCAGTATTATATGATCATTGTATTGTGATTATAAACATTATAGATCTATTTTTCTTTACCACTGCTTGTAAAGGAAATGCAGGTGTGTAGAACAGTCTTGTCCGAGACAGATCCACATTGTACCGACTCAAAACAACAGGAAGGAAGGTTTCAGATTCCTGTACCTCACCACCTTTTGAGATGTGTACAGTCATTTTAGCTAATGAATTGATTGTATTCATATATCAAATAAAAAATATAACCATTTCCATTATAAAATGAGATCATAAAAAGTATGTTCATGTTATCTTTGTTACACTTTTAGTGCCCTGAAGTTTAAATAATACTGACAAAACTGATTTCATGAGTGTTTACTTAAAATATCCGTCACTGTGGCAGAAATGTAGAATTGGGTCTGAGTTGTTGCCAGTTCTTCTAATGCTGTGTCCAGTTTTTGGGTGATGTCTGAAATGTTGACTGTTATCTTTGCAAGGCCTTCTTTCACCTACAAAAGGGAAAGATACCATTAGCAATCAACAGGACAAAACCGGTAATTTTCACATCCAAGGCTTGTTTGGACCCAAAGAATCATCGATCGTCAGCATAGACTATGTACAAATACATCTTTATAAACACAATTTACTTAAAATGTGCAATATATGCAGGATATGTCAAATATATTTATATATTTTTTTAGAATTTTATTTTTATTATATTATTATATTTTTCTTTTTTTTCTGATACCTATTGGTACTCTATATAAAGTTGAGCCCAAAATGACATAAACATTTAACATTGGGGTTAAATGTGTCTTATAAATAATTGAAAAATGTCAATAAAGTGTATTTAACCCTCCTATCGTGTTCACCTCTGGCCCCTTACTTTAGTGTTCCGGGAGAGAATTGATCGGTTTCTTTTAACTGCTCTTAAATTTGTCAAAAAGCATTCTTTAGCTGTGAACAATGTCTTAAACTAGTGTTTAGCATGAATTTATAGAATTAGACATAAAATAACTGCAGGGTATTAATTGTATTACAAAATGAACATGTAATGTCATGGAGGTAATCACGAGGGAGGATCAGCACATAAGCACAGGAAAGAGATGTATTCACAAAAGACATTGTTCAGTCTAAAATGTGTGTGCGAGCGAGTGAGTTGGGGTAGTGTATATGGGGATGTTTTCCGTTTGATGGTTGAATATAGAGTCTGGAGACCATTCATTTTCTACGGCAGTCACTTTTAATCTGGAACACCAGAGGTGTAACACGGTTAATTAAAACAATCAAAATTCAGTGAAAGAGGTGATCATCACTTTTACACGTTCAAGTGCATAGTGTGGAGGATATCACAAGGCCTTGATTCAATCAGAAACACAATATTTATAAGTGTGTTAAGTTGTAAGTCGGTCAGATTTGACCCAAACATGATAGGAAGGTTAAATGGTTTTATTGTTTAATGTTGTTAATGTTTTTCAAACAATACAGACACTACTGGATAAATAAAAGCTGAATGATATCAGGTTAATTGCCTTAGAGACACATGGGTGTTTTATTTTCGAACTTATTATTATTATTTTACTTTTATTTATTTACTGTACTTACAGATCCAGTTTTTTCCAACCCCTTGATGAACTCAATTTCAGGATCATTCTCTGACTTGCCTTTTTTTATCCCAAACCGACAGTGGAAACCACCATCAATGGTCTTTCCATAGGAATATCTTTCAGGTTACAAAGAAAGAAAAAAACAACAGTTTTTAATCTAGCTTCTCAATTAATTTGCTATTTAAAAAAAAAAAAGTAACAGAATTGTTGTTATTAACTATCTAAATAATTTATAATCATTCATTTATCTGAATTTGAACTTACGAGGCCTGAATAGTGAATGTTAATGTCTTAGCATTTGCTTGCAGAAAGGCTTTCTCTGAGTGAACTGAAACACCAAAGCTGGGAAGAACTAACAGAAATGCATTGTATTTCAGCTGCAGTTGATAAAATACAATTTATAGAAGTAAAGCAACTCTTACTGACATGTATGTCAGAGTGTAATTTTATTACACTTACCAAACTTCTGGACTTTAAATTCGCGCACCGCTGCATTGTCCACATCATCTTCATAATGTGCTGTAATCTTCCATACACCAGGTCTATAGAGATTAATTAAATAGATGAATTCATTACTTTAAAAGTCTGAATGGTGTCATGTAAACAGATTGAACCGCATGCTAATATAGATTTCAGTGAGTATCACAGTTTCCTTTTGCCATGTTATAAAAAGAGATCAACTATACTTGGAAACATCAGGAATTTTGTAGTCTTTTGACAGGATGCCATCCAACACTCTGTACTTTGACTTCTTGACCTTGTTCCCATCAGCATTCTAAGGATAGATGAAGATGACCAAGAATCTCGATTAACTTAATAAATGAGAAGTTGCTGAAAGAATCATTTTAATTGCATAAATAAAATAATTAAAATGTATTATTCCTTTAATGTAAGTTACAAAAAGCATGTTATACAAAATGCAAAATAAATAAATATTACTTACATATATAGAGACATAAACATACATCTCTAATTTTGGTCGCATGGAGTGATCAAGAGTGAAGATTCTGAATCGAACTGTAACACGAAACACATAATATCCTAATTAAGACATGCTACATTCATTAGATAATAGCTTACATTTAAACTTTAAAATATATTATTGCAATACTCTTGTAGATAATTTCATATGCAGAGATATAACATGAAATAAATTAATCCTAGTAGATGCATGCAATGAAGAACCTAAACTAATATTAACTGTCATCCACAATTCACAGATATTTTACATTTTAGCTAACAATATTTTAGTTTTTGGTTGAAAACTAAAAGTGTGTTTATTGTACCTTTCTGTGTGGGGTTGTATATGGGTTGGTCCGTCTGAATAAAGATGTAGCCATTGTGTTTGGAGACCAGAACACGCGTCTGCTGTCTCTGACCATCAACCTCACATGCCAGATTTAGATAAGGAGGCTCTCCATTGATTGACTTCAGGTTTGAAACTGTATTTGCAAATATCTTAAAGAGAAAATAAACAATATACGGGACTGTTCTGACGGGACTGTGAATGCTTATATCAGTAATATAATACAGCTAGACTTTCATTAAGTAATCTAAAAACACACACACATATAAGATACTTGTAAATGCATTTTTACTTAGATATGCATTACCTCAAGATTCACTGTCTCAAACTTTCCTTTTTGGTGTATTGTTTTGGTTTCCTTTGCGGACATGGGAACCCGCGTCTCTGTTTCTAACTGACAGGACACGGGTTTGCCGACCAGTGCCTCCCCGACCTGAATCACTATAGGTTCTTTCACACCAACATGAAACACACTCGGAGCAGTGATGAGGAATCTGGCACACAGATGGAAAAAAGAAGAAAGATTAAAAAACCTCAATAACTTTTTAGCTTAACTCATCTTGTTTAGTCAAAAATAGTCTATGAAAAAGTCAACAACTTTTCCTTCTTTGACAACACATTTCAGAAAATCTATTCTGTAAACCCCACTGTTGTAATTATTAAAAATATTAAGTTAATATAACTTGACATTACTTAAAATACCAAGTTAAACAGGTGTGTTTAACTTACACATTAGGCAGCAAAAATCTTTTAATTAATATTTTAAGTTCTCTGAACTTAACATTTTAATTTCTTTGAACGATTCACTATGTCTCTGTTTAAAATGATTGGTTGCACTTAAAATTCTGCCTTGACAACTGTGCTGATTGGTCGAGACACAAAGACACGAAGTCAAAGCATTAAGGGTGTGTCCGAATCCTCTTTTGATATTTCAAGGACAGAAAAATATGCTGCACCGCAGCGCATGGTCTAACAGGGTCGAGCTTATTCTCTTAATGGGTTATGGGTGTGTTTTGAGAATAAATGTAATGTAATGTAATGTAATGTGTATTTATATAGCACATTTATTGTGTATGGCCATACACCCAAAGCGCTTCACAATCATGAGGGGGGTCTCTCCACACCACCACCAGTGTGCAGCATCCACTTGGATGATGTAACGGCAGCCACAGGACAACGGCGCCAGTGTGCTCACTACACACCAGCTATTGGTGGAGTGGAGAGACAGTGATAGAGCTAATTCGGTGGAAGGGGATGAGTTATGGGTGTGTTTTGAGAATAAACCAATTAGAGTCTCATCTCCCATGCCCTTTAAGAGTGAGTTGCATCATGCCATGGTGCATTTGCTATTTAGATGGTGGATTTTGTAAGAGGAAAAACTGAATGCTTCACTAGCGAGAAAACAGTTAAACAGAGCATCTGCAGCGCAAGGATAAAGAATGAGCCTCCTCTAATCCGCCTTCACTTTCACTTTATCTTTTTCTCTTTTGTGGACAAAGATTTGTTTTAAAAACTATTTCTAAATTCAGTTCTAGTTTCCAGCACATGAAAAAATTAACAATAATAACGAAGTATGCTCAAAAAAGTTATATCCAAACACACATTCTCTGCCTCATATGGTCTAAAACCTGACAGGTGGACAAATCTAAGCTTGTTTTTATTAAAACAAATATAAATATGCATATCATAAATAATAATGCTAATAATAATAATATTATACATATGCAAATTGTCATGAATAAAGTAAAAAAAAAAGCCCCCCAAGATAAAGAAGGCATGGAGGTAGTGGGTTTCATATATATATATATATATATATATATATATATATATATATATATATATATATATATTAGACCTGTATAAGTTGTATTTTAGACCTGCTTTCAGCTGGTCTATTGCAAAGTCTATTTTAGATCCTCAAAATAGCAACGCGCCAATAATGTGTCGTAACACACCTTTTTTTCAGACCAAAAGACCCATGTGTCCCATGAGTGTGAACTCTGGCCACACCTGTGGCCACCCCAATGGTTTTGCTGTTGATATTATTAATTTAAATATACTTACGTAAATGTAAAATATTTCAATAAATAAAAAAAAAATTAAAATGAATGAATGAATGAATGAATGAATGAATGAATGAATAAATGAATGAATGCCGTCACTAAATTATTGTGGATTGATTGGTGCCACTGACATAGCTGATTCACTGCTCTTCTCCCTCCCCGATCATTGTTGACAGCACGCATACACCTTCAATAGACAGCAATGGCAATGTAATATTTATCTTAAGCTATATCAATAAGCAGTATTAATAATATTGTGGCTCAGAAAGAAATATGGTTAAATTATATTATTAGGGTCTGTATAGTAAGTTTGTGTGTGTGTGTGTGTGTGTGTGTGTGTGTGTGTGTGTGTGTGTGTGTGTGTGTGTGCGTGTGTGTGTGTGTGTGTGTGTGTGTGTGTGTGTGTGTGTGTGTGTATAGTAATGCCTTTTGTACAAATTGTTCATTTGTTCATACATTAATTTTCTTGTCGGCTTAGTCCCTTCATTAATCCCGGGTCACCACAGCAGAATGAACCATAATTTAGTCTACCCAATTCACTTGTACCACATGTCTTTGGACTGTGGGGGAAACCAGAGCACCTGGAGAAAACTCACGCGAACGCAGGGAGAACATGCAAACTCCACACAGAAACGCCAACTGAGCCGAGGCTCGAAACAGCAACCTTCTTGCAGGCGACAGCACTACCTACTGTGCCACTACTTTGCCCTTGTTCGTTTGTCTGTTTTTATGATTAATTCATTAATCTTCATTCATTTTAGACATGGCATATACTGCATGCTGTACAATAAAAGTATGTGAAAAATTACTGAGAAGATATTTATATATATGAAAAGTGCTTTTAAACTAAATGTTGATTTTTATTTGGTTTACACATGTACTTGCTAAAATATTTCATAGAATAAATTGCCGTATTTCAAGAGTAATTAATTAAATGAATTAAAACCACTGAATACATTATTTTTTGTGTGCCACCCCAAGATTTGTTATAGCCTCTTCTGGCCACCTCTAAGAAAATTTTCTGGGGGTGCCACTGACACAGGGGCGACATGTTGGCACAGTGAGTAGCGATGTTGTCTCACTGCAAGATGGTCACTGGTTCGAGTCCCGGCTGGGTCAGGTGGCATTTCTGTGTGGAGTTTGCATCTTCTCCCCATGTTCGCATGGGCGTGTGTTCTCCTCTCAACAATTTTTTTTACTTGCTTTATTTATTAACCTTAAAATTTTATTTTTGCATTTAACAGAGGAAGTTAAACAAGACAACAATATTAAAATAGTAACTGATTTGATGAGCGATTTATATAATAATAAATCATAATAGAACAGCAAATCATCATATTATAATGGTTTCTGAATGCTTATGTGACACTGAAGCAATGGTGATTGAAATTTAGCTTTGAATCACAGAAATCAATGAAATGTAAAACTACAAAACTACGATATTTAAAATGAACACAGTTTTTACCATATTTTTTTAAAATAAATGCTGAAATGGTGAGAAATATTGGCTCATTTTAAAACAGTAACATTAATGCTTTAATTTATGAATGTTTCCAATTTCGAAGGATATAGTGCATGGCCTAATTAGCCCAGATATTTTATTCAGTGTAAACTACAGCAAAAACAGTTTAATTTCATTGAATATATTAAGCTGGATCTGAATGTGAAATTAAATGAATGTGGTCAATTTTGAGGGACAAAATATTATCCACTAAACAATAATATCATAAATAAGACAAAAGCATAACAAAAGTTTTGTTAGCTAAAGTTAATTTTTGAGTCATTTGAGCTCAATCGGTTAAATCATTTTAGTGTATTTTAATTGTATTAATTTGATTCAATTTAAAAATGAAGAGAAAATTAAGGAAGCTATTAATCGAATGTTTGTTACATCCTTATTATTTTTCTTTTTGGAGCTGTATTACCTAAAAAAATAACCACCTGCCTATTCATTATTATAAATATTACTAACACTTTACAATACGGTTTTATTAGCCTATGTTATAGTTAATGTATTTACTAGCATTAATTAATTAGTAAATGAATTAATTTAATTTATCCCTTGTTATAGCATTATTAAATATATTATATTTAACACAAATAAAGTTATTATACTAAACAATAACATTGCTCCTTGTTAGTTCTTGTTAACCTGAAGTGCTTTTTACCCAATGTTAAACCATTTTAAATATACAACATTAATAAACAATGAACTTTAAAAAGAATATGATGAAACTTTGACTTTGATAATGACTATTATAAAGGCTGTACAAGTAACTTTCATTTTTATTTCATGTTAGTAATAGCATTAGCTATTACTAGTAATAGTTCACCCAAACTAAATATTCTGTCATCATTTACTCACCTTTCACTACTTCAAAACCTATATGAGTTTCTTTATTCTGTTGAACACTAAAGAAGATATTTTTTTTTTTTAAAATGCTGGTTGCTGGGACTCATTCACTTTCATATATATATATATATATATATAATTATTATTATTTTATTTTTTTTGATGGGTCCCAGCAGCCAGCATTTTTTAAAATATATTATTTTGTGCTCAACAAAGAAACTCCTAAAGATTTAAAACCCAGTGAGGGAAAATAAATGATAATTTTTATTTTTGGATGAACTTATCAATAATAATAACAACAACATTGATAATATTTACATGCACTGTACAATTCTTACCTCTGATTGCTATTTCCTTGAACAGCACAGCTCATGCAGAGCAGCAGATAGAGAAGAGGACGAATTTGCTCCTCCATGGTAAGTCTTGTGTTTGCAGATGATTTCAGACTGATTTTGTTCTCTCAGCTCTGCTGTGCAAATGTTGCACAAGAGCAACTGAGTTATTTGGGGTTTAATGGGGTTATCATGGTTTTCAGCAGTCATTGCACAACCAGTGCTTTCCCCAAAGTCATGTGACTTGAAAGAAACACAAACAAATATGGCAAAAAATCAATAATTTGGTTCTAATCCATTTGAATAGGGATACTTTTGAGAATGTAGTACAAAGAAACACTACAATTGTTCAAAATGAATTAAATTCAGTTGTCAAATTTAACTGTTGTTATTATTAAGATTATTAATATTAGTAGTAGTAGTAGTAGTACACTGTAAAAAAAAAAATCTTGCCTAAAATTCTTTAACCAAGTGAATCTTTCCAGTCATCTCAACTCAACATCAGTCAAACTGAGTAAAATATTAAGTTAAGCTTTGCATAACTAAAATATTTAGTCAAAACCGGATTAACTGAATTAAAGTAACATAAAAGATTTGTTGTTATGAATTTTTGTCTCATTGTTTTTACAGTGTTCTAGTAGTACTTAATTTAAATTTGACAAAAAAATGTCTATATTTTTAGATGAAAACTTCTTGATTTGCCTTTTGATTTTTTCGACCAAAAAGTTTTATTTTTTTCAGCCTCCCATGTTTGTGTTCTATTTATTATGTTATTTTGTTTTAAATACAATGAAAACTCTCACACACAGGAGCCTGATAAAAATGTAAAAAAATCTTAATTTTCAGTAGTAATAATAATAATAATAATAATAATAATAATAATAATAATAATAATAATAATATTAGGCAACCTTACTTGAAGAAAAGTTCAGATGTGCATGTTCCTTGAAGCACAAGATGGTTGAATCAGTCTCAACTTGGTGAATTATCAGATCTTTGCTTAAGTTCATTCAGTACAGTGTAAAAAAGCACAATCAAACAATCTATCAAATGCAGGTAGTGCTTATTCATGCAGCAGGGTACAAACAAACAGACAAACAAAAATAAAACTATTGTTTATTGAATATCTGTTATTTTTCACATTTATTAAATCATTTAACATTTTTAAAATTATATTAGTGGATTTAATACAGAGGACATTATTCAGTATTATTACATTAAGGATTTCTTTCATTTTCTTAATAATTGAGTCCTGAGTAAATATGATTTTTTTGCTTCTATTTTATTATCAGTAGATTATTTTATTACTACTACATATATTTTTCAGATTTTTTTGTGTATTTATCCTGCTCTCTCTCTCTTTATTTCTGTCTGCATATCCCTAAATGTGATAAGCCTGGTAAGTTGGCCTGCTGTGCTTTGACCTGATCACTTGCATTGCTTTTACAATTTCTTGGAAACTCACCCCACATAATTAACATCACTATTTGTTTTTATTAAATAACAGGGCAACACTTTAAAATAATGGTTCATTAGTTAATGTATCTACAAACATTAAGTATGAATAATCTTGTATAACATCTATTAATCATAGTTTAACATTAACTGATTCTTAATTAAAATCTAAAGTTGTGCTTGTTTACGTTAGTTAATGCACTGTGAGTTAATATGAACTAACAATTTAACATTAACTAACATTAACAAAGATAAATAAATACAATTTTAATGTAACTATAAATGTATAATATAAATATATTAATAATCGTTTTAATAATAGTTTTTGTTAATAAATACATTAACATTTAATAATGGACCATTGTTTTGAAGTGGATCTTGCAAAAAAAATTGTTTTCAACAAAACTAAACAAAACTAAACTAAACTAAACTAAACTAAACTAAACTAAACTAAACTAAACTAAACTAAACTAAACTAAACTAAATCTGCATTCAGATTTTGGTGGGAAAACAGTCAAAGGGTTCAGATTCAGTTAAAAATGACGTAATATCCAGCTTGAGAAATCCATTAGGCAACTCAGCATTTCCATAAGATTTTTTCCAATTCCAAAATATTTCATTTTCACGAGCGTTCCCTAATATCTAATACCCTCAATGTCTTTTTTCCCTCTTTTTAGGACTGTAATCCAGATTGCTGAGAGTGGCCTGCCAGAGGCATGATGTCCATCCACAACTCCTGCACAATAATCAGGAAGACGCAAGAATTGCGTTTGGACAATCAGTCTCTGACTGCCAGGAGATACTGGAGAATGACCACAGAAATCAAACCCAATACAGAGATAACAGGACGACACCTTCTGAAACAGAATAAATCACACATGTAAACCAAATAATATCAATAACTAAGCACTATGGTGTTTCTATAATATAATATAATATAATATAATATAATATAATATAATATAATATAATATAATATAATATAATATTCTTTAAAACAACTAAATGAAAAGTTTTACTCTGCATTTTCATCTCCCTAATGGTAAACCATGAAATAAATCTAGCTTTTATTTTGAATTTACTGCCAACCCTACATGGCAATGTTATTCTTTCCTGTCTTACCTTTAGTTGAATTGTCCACTTTCATCCGTCAGAAACTTCAAATACAGTTGATAAATCCATACAGGAGTTTTGTGGTCAGTGAGCGTCTTGGTCAGCGCCCTGTTCTGTCTCTGTCGGCATCTGTGTGTGTCCACATCTTTCTCTGCCTTTCGTTCTATCCATCTCATTACATGCAGCAGTGGGGTTGCCTAAGAGACCAGGCCTGAAAAGAGAACATCTCTTGTACTACAATGCAAGGAGAAAGTGACATAAGATTGGGGGATGTGGGGGGTTGAGAGAGAGGGAGAGAGAGAAAGAGTGAGGAAGAAGTATAGATGACAGGTGGATGGATGCAAGAATAACTGCATTGGCTTGTGTGACTATGCTGCAGGATAGTCAATCTGTTGGAGAGAGTGTCTCAAGCCATTGAAACTAGCTAATAAAATATTGCTGGATGATATGCAGAGCAAACTGGACGTTTTTAAGTTGTCACTTTACTGGTTAAAATGTGTGGAGCCACTTTATAGTGTCACTTAAACTTAAATACATATACTAAAAATTACTATCAACTCAACCCTTGATACTTGATGACTTTGCACTTTTTTGACATTAAATCATACATATATATATATATATATATATATATATATATATATATATATATATATATATATATATATATATATATATATATATATATATATATATATTTAATTTAAATTAAATCATATATATACTACTCAACAAAAGTCTTGGAGCCTATCCAAGTTTTAGGAACAACAAATTATAACTTGACTTATAGTTGAAAATATGAAAAAGGCCTCAAGATACACTTTTTTTTACCAAAATAAAATATGATTTTCCTTGATTTTAGATTATTTAATTAGGACAGTAAGGTCTGATTTTGCTTCGACAAAAATCTTGTAATTTACTGTAACAGAAATAATGTACAGTATAGAATAAAGTCATTGTGCAATGGAAAAAAAAAATTATATTGTGTATGACTTCCATGAACTCAACACAATGACTGAGACAACTACAGTATATTAAGGAAGTTTATCAATTTTCTTGGGATTCATTTTCAATACCTCCTCCATCATCTTAGCAAAGACATGCTCAATAATGTTCATGTCTGGTGACTGGGCTGGCCAATCCTGGAGCACCATGAGCTTCTTTGCATGAAGTATGAGAAGGAGCGCTATCTTGCTAAAGAATAAATATTAAATGTTCAGTAAATATACTGAATATATGTATTCTTGCTGGCTGCTTTATTAAGTGCACATTGTCAATATGATCTGCTGAAATAAAATTGAGTGACATAATAAGGATCAAAGATGGTTTCATTGTCTTGGCTTTAGCTACGTGGCTTGGTTGTTGCTACCAGATGGTGTTATTTACAAAATTATTTCAGAAACTTATCTACCAATATTTCCAAGCACAAACAACTCTATGGTTTGTAGAAGATGAAAAAATAAATAACTGAGCATCACTTATTTGGGCAAACAATGTCTTTCTCAAAATATTAGTAAAGCAAACACTGGCCCTATATGTGGCTTTTACATATATTTCAATTAATATGGAAAGCAAGTGCATGTTTTTTACCAAGTCAATTATTGGATTTTATTTTACTGCATGTTTGAGTAAAACATTATAATTTGCACTATGAAATGATGGGGTTCTTCTCTAAATAAGTAGTTACTTTCTCCACCCAGTTTAGAGTGTCATTATGGGTGTTTTACGTTCTAACTAATGTGGTTCAAGCGATGGATCTGTAACTATTAACTATGCGTTTTGGGAAACACTCGTCACTACATTGTTCTTTTCCCAAACGATGCATCGTACTATGATAGTTCAGCTGCGAGTTATGCCATTTTTTGGGAAACGCACCCTGGAGGTCTGTTCTTTGTACGTGGATTACTCAGTTAGCTGGATTAGGATATTGACGGTTTGACAAGATCCAGGATCGTTTCGTTCTTAAAAAATCATCTGAGACTTGTTGTCATAGTAACAGTTCTGGTAGTTCAAATCTGTGTAGGAGCAGTTTCATTTCATGTAAACAAGATTAGATTGAGTCAGTTCAAGTTAAGAAAATACTGAAAGTATGTACCGAATGCTGATATTTTCTTAGAGTAGTTACAGTATATACACTTGGGAAAATAGTAAATATATATAGTTTTTAACTATATATATATATAAAGTAAAAAATAAATATATTAATAAAATTTATGCAATCTGCACTCCATAATACAAGTACAAAGACTGCCACCTGCTGGTTCAAAGAGAAAATGTATCGATATGAACTTTTTAGATGCAAACGCATGCATGCACAATACTCAACTTAAAAAAAAAAAGGAAAATCATTTATGCAATCAAGCACGTGTTTTGATCACTAATATGCCAGTGAATGACACCTTTACCGACATCAAAATGCTTTTTTGATGCAAAATTAATTTATACAGTTATTAAATGTAGAACTAAATACATTGATATGCATTGAAATACATGATGAATACTCGACACATGAAAGTGTAAAGCCTGCAGCTTACAACAAACGTGGGAAGCTATTGCGTATCATATTTAACAAAACGTTTACTGCTAATTTGATGTAATTTTGCTTGCATAGATAATTAAATATTAATCA